GTGGCGAGGATAGGTACGCTTTTAGATTTCTCAAGGCATCGACGCATTCTGAATTCTACTATAATCAATGGTCTTTCCTGAGCACATTGAAGAATTTGTGGCATCTGTCCGACGATCATGATATAAACCTCAACAAGGCGGCTATTCATTTTGTTAATTTTTGCACCTACTTCTTGCTGGTTAATGTCTCCGATATTCCTTCGATGGCCCTGATCTGATCCGGGTTGACTTCAATACCCTTTTGTGACACCAGAAAACCAAGGAACTATCCTGAAGTTACGCCGAAGGCGCATTTTTTGGGATCCAGTTTCATCCTGTATTGCCTCAATATCTCGAAGGCTTCCTTCAAATGACCAATGTGATCTTCTCTCTTTTTTGACTTCACTAGCATGTCATCGATGTAAACCTCCATGGTCTTGCCGAGTTGTTCTTTGGACATCTTGGTGACTAACCTTTGATATGTCGCCCCTACATTCTTGAGTCTGAACGACATGACTTTGTAGCACTACGTTTCTCGGTGGGTGATGAAAGTGGTCTTTTCTTGGTCTTCTTCAGCCATTAGAATTTGGTTATAACCAGAATAAGCATCTAAGAAGCTCAGTAGTTCGTGTCCCGCCGTTGTATCGATGAGCTGGTTGATATGTGGTAACGGAAAAGAATCTTTCAGGCATGCTTTGTTTAGGTCGGTGAAGTCGACACAAATCCGCCATTTCCCATTTTTCTTTTTCACCATGACCACGTTGGCGACCATTGGGGATATTTTGATTCTCGGATGGAACCATTAGTGAGTAACTTATCAAATTTTTCGTTGACCGCCTCATTGATGGTGGCATTGAACTTTCTCCTCATTTGCCGTACTGGCAGGTAAAGAGGGTCGACATTCAGCTTGTGTGTGGCGATGTCCCTTGGGATTCCTGGCATATCTGAATGGGAGAAGGCGAACAAATCGGCATTATTAGTTAAGAACTCATAGTACTTACCTGGTTCTGAGAGGTTGTGTCTGATATAAGCTTTTTTGTGATATCGGTGTTGTCTAGTTGAATGGGGTCGAGATCTTCTATAGTTGCTTTGCAAGTTTCTATGACATCTGAATCTTTGATGGCCTCTATTTGTATGTCGGGTTTGGTTCCCGATATGGCTGATTGCTATGCTTCCGCACTTGCCCCTTTTAGTTGTTGGGTGTGTGTGCAATCTTGGGTGATTCGGTAGCATTCTTGGGTGGTGTGTTGCTCGCCTCGGATGCTGAATATCCCCCATGGGGTAGGAAATTTGATTACTTGATAGAAACTTGACGGGGCGGCTCGCATGGCGTGTATCCATGGACGCCCTATGATGGCGTTGTAGGCTATTTCCTGGTTTATGACGTGGAATGTCGTCTCTAGGGTGACTCTTCCTGCCAGAACGGGTAGCACTATCTCTCCAGAGGTTCGTTCCACTATATTATTAAAACCCGTTTGTGTTATGCAACGCGGTACTATTTTATCCTCGAGCCTCATCTGTAGGAGGATTCGTGGGTGAATAATACACGCGTTGCTTCCGTCATCCACCATTATTCTCTTTACGTCAGTATCCGCGATGTGTAAAGTTATAACCAAAGCATCATAGTGAGGGAAAGACAAACCGTTGGTATCTGACTTATCGAAGATGATACTATCTTCGAGGTCGACATATCGTTCGTGGGCGACTGCCCGTTTGAATTTGTGTCTGGTGGTGAATTTCACATGGTTGATTACTATTTCGTTGCCGCCGCCAATGATCATTTGTATGGTACAAGCTGGTGATGGTGGTTTTGGAGGTCCCTGAGGTTGATCGCGTCCACGAGCGAAATTAACTCGTCCTCGATCGCTCAGCAGTTCTTTCAAGTGTCCCTGGTTTAGCATTCTTACCACTTCATGTCGTAGACCTATGCAGTCTTCAGTCTTGTGTCCCTTTCCTAGTAGAATTCACACAGAACATTCGATCTCTGGGTGCTCGGATCCGACTTCATCTTTTGCAGCCACTGCATCTTTATGCCGAGTTTTTCCAATGCGTACACTCTTTCTGAAGGAAAAACACAAAAGTTATGAGCAGATAACAGTGGAGGCATACCTCTTTCGTTTTGGGGTGGTGCGGTGTGTCGAGGCGCGGCATCTGCATGTCGTGGAGGAGGTGGGCTGGATGTTCGGATATAGGGCTGGTGCCTTTCTCGATTGAAATGGGTTAATTGGTCCCTTCGGTCGTCGTTGCGGCGATCTCTCTTTGTTTCGGTTTGGACCGATGTTAGTCGTTGGATTGGGTCATTCAGGTCATCCTCGTCTACCCTTACTTCGACGTAATAGGCATTATGGATCTCTTCCCACGTAGTGGGGGATACTTTATGAGTCTACTTAGCAGCTTTTTGGTTGCTTTTGACCCGTTTCTGTTTAACCCATTTTGGAAGGATGCTACTGCCATCCCTTCTGACACGTTCGGTAGGCTCATCCTTACCCTGTTGAATCGGGCTAGGAAATCCCGAAGTCCTTCGCCTGTCGTCTGCCTGACGACAAAGATGTCATTTACCCTGGCCTCTACCTTTTTGGCTCTCGCGTGAGCGGTGACGAACTTATCTGCCATTTCTTCGTACGTTGATATCGATCGTACTGGTAGTTGGGAATACCATGTCAACGCTCCTCCTGTCAGAGTTTCGCCGAACTTTTTCAGCAGCACTGATGGCACCTGTTCTTTCGATAGATCGTTACTTTTTACTGCAGTAACTTAATGGATTAAGTGATCCTTCGGGTTCGTGGTGCCATCATATATTTTCAAATATGGCGGCATTTTGAAGGTTTTGGAATAGAGTGGGGAGTTGCCCCTTCGCTGTATGGTTGTTCGACGAATCGGCCCACATCACGTTTTGGTAGCAACTTTGGAGCGCCTGGTATTTTATCAAGCCTTTCCTGATGCTCTTTCATCTGATCGCGAAGTGTTTGACTCATTTTCCATCTCTTCTATTTTCTTTAAGATGGTTGCAAGTGCATCGTTGCTTGCATCAATGACAATATGAGTATTACCTGTTCGTGGAGTTTCTGGCTCATCGGCGACAATTGCGATTTCTACGGGTATTGTGCCTTCGATATCCCTTTGAACGGGTTTCTCGAGTATATTGCTCAAGGTGTTTGTCAACCATTCTTCTAATAGCCTTTTCACGGTCGGTGGTGCTTCTCCTGTTGCGGATGTTGAGGTTTCGCTCTCGCGCGAGACAGTTACACCCTCATGCGGGGGAGGGGGGAGGGGAAGGGGGGAGATCTCCCCCTCAGGTATAGCACTTGGTGCTGCCTTTTTGTTGTCATCCCTACCGGCTTCATTGAGGGAATTCAGGAGGTTGTTCGTGACACCTACTATTGCCTTTAATCTTGTTTCTCCCTTTCCTGCCATTGTCGGTCTTTGCAAGGCTAAGGAGAGGTGATTGTTTCTTTCAAGGATCTAGACGAAACTAAGATATGAGCTATAGAAATCCCCATAGACGACGCCAAATTATTTGACTCAAAAGATATCAGAACCTTTTTGAATAAATCAATCAAAGAAAATGAAGGGGTAAATCTTAGCTGAGTATAATAATCTCTAGAGCAAAAGATATACACACAGAGGGTAAGATCTTTTTATATTATCAAGAAAAACCCTTAAACAATCATGACATCGATTATTTCTTGTAAGCAAGAGTTGTAGCAAGTATTGTAAGTTAGGAAAAATGCCCAGGGGCTTACAAGGTTATTTTTCACCCCTTATATAGGGGACAAATCCCTTTAAGCCCTAAAAGACAAATCACAAGGAGTCTTTGAAAGAATATTCCTAATGTTCCCTTATGGGCCTATAATGTTACAAAGGTCGTACGATCTCTTGTTTGCATATAGGTCGTCCTCTGTAGGATATCGAGATATAAGAATCTCGTCATTTGTCATACTTATCAACGGTCGTGGTTGTCGAAATTTGGACCCATACAATTTCTTTATATGTGGAGACTATTTTTTTATATACTCCAGTCGAAAAACATGAATAAACTCATAGTAATAACAAATAATATAGTACTGTGGTTTGCATTGAAATAGAAGATCTTGAACTTTGAGTTATCCCAATTAAATTTAAACATATTAAGCCTTCATCGGAATATGTAAAATTAGGATAGATTTCAAGTTTATTACTTATTTTAGAATACATCAAAGTAAAAAAATTTACCAGTTAACAATTCTTAATTTTTTTAATAAAAGAAGTAGCATTAAGTTTGAGTAGAAATAAAAAAAAAATTTGAACTTTGAGGTCACCTATTTTAGTGATTGCCATTGGCTCACTTCAAATTATTGCTATAGTAAAAACAATAATTTATGATAAAATTTGGAGTCCAAAAATTTAGTGTAGCCGGATTTAAATACATTATTCAACTGCAGTAAAGAATGAGTTATGGTTAGATATACAATTCATATTAAATAAAATATTGTTCAAATGAGTAAAAGTATTTTCTAATTATATTTTTTTTTTCTAATTTTGTTGATCTTTGTTACTTGCAAAACTATAGGATATGAGAAATTATGGTTCTTTCTTAATTTAATATAAGTATTTAATTCTAAGTCTTTATATTTAGTTATTTTTGATGGAATATTGGTTCAACGTTAGTTAATCTTTAGACTATAAATTGTTACAAATAATTTTCTTACTTCCCTTTAGTTACAAGTTTTATCATCTTTTAGAAGTTATAAAAGAAAATGCAACCTATTTCGTGCTCTAACTAACCAACAGTTTCAATTCCAATTTATTTTAATTACATTTTCAATTTATTATAACTCAAACACAATTTTTAATATTAATATTTAGGCAATTTTTAAAAATAATTTACTCACTTGAGCAAAAGTATACGCGCCTAAGACTAGTTCTTAAAAAAACAAGAAAGAAAGAAACTCCGTGTAAAGGATGCGTCGGAGGCAGCTATCAACTGCCACGTGTCGCTTAGCTTTATGTAAAGTCGACTTTATATTTTCAGACTCTGTTTGGACCATATAAAAGTATTTCAACATTAAATACCACGTCCCTCATTCACTCCGTCCTCTTTTAGTTTCCATTTCAAAACAGTAGAAGTCAATTCGCCGGCGAAAAAGATGACGAATTACGGCACAATACCGACGTCCTCTTCAGGTCCGGCAAACGTGGAGTACATCTCCAGGGCAAAAGATAGGATAAAGGAAGGATTAGGTACTCGCCGGCCATGGAAGGAGATGTTCAATTTCCACTCCCTAAATCTTCCATCTGGAGTCAACGATGCAATTTCACGAATTAAAACAAATATCTCCTACTTCCAGATGAACTACGCCATCGTAGCGCTAGGAATTGTCTTCTTAAGCCTCCTCTGGCACGCGATCTCGCTTATCGTGTTCCTAGTTCTGATGGCCCTTTGGTTGTTTTTGTATTTTCTCCGTGATGAGCCGTTGGTGGTTTTTGGTCGTCTGATTTCTGATCGTGTTGTTCTGATTGTGCTCTTTGTTTTTACTATCGGTATGCTCCTGCTTACTAATGCGACTTCGAATATTTTAATTTCGCTAGCGGTGGCCGTGGTTGTGGTGTTGATTCATGCTTCGATAAGGAAGACTGATGATTTGTTCATGGATGAAGAAGATGCTGGGTTTTTGAGAGCTCCTCCGTCGTCTTAGTTTTGCTGTGTTATTTTCCCCAATTCAATTGAAGTGTGTGAGCCAATGTAGTTTCTTTTTCTGTTTTTCGTTTTTTAATTTATTTATTTCCGGTAATATCTTCGACTGATTGTTGTATTTTATCACCATAAACTTTGTTTATTCCTCGTTAAATTTGATCATAATTGAATGGTGGTTACCTTGTTGTTATTAGTGTTTTTTTTGTACTTATGCAATGCGTGTTGTGTTTAATTTATTAGTGTCGGCAGAAATAATTTTGGGGATATTGCAAAAACGTGTACTTTCGCGATCCTTCTTGTCCAAATTGGGCATTATTAATTACGTGTAGGAGTACTGTTTTAAAAGGCTTTTTTGGGACTCGCCTCGGGCGGGACACTATTAAAACGCGTTGAGAGTTATGTGTGGGGCTTAGTTCTTTGAGGCTTAGACCCCCAAGCACCCGACGGTGCGCCCTAAACACGCCTAACACCCAACGCTCGGGACTCGCCCAACAGTTCTTATGCAAATCATGTGTTGAATTCACTAATTTGCACTGTTAACTATCAAAATTCTTTAACAAATGAATGACTAAAGTTCTTTTTATCTATACAAATATGAAAATTGTGAATAATTCAAATAACGAAATATATTATTGCATAATTACTAATTGAGAACATCGTGAAGGTGAATATCATTTGAATATTTCTTCTAAAAATAGATAACCAAAATTTATATTGATCTTCATGTCTTAATATGTCTCTCAAAATTATCATAATTTTTTTATTTTAGTGTTTAAAAATAATTTTATATTTACTCATGAAGGAGTAATATTTTAAATTATAGTTGTTGAAAAATTTATTGTGTATTTACTTTTAAAGAGGTAAAATATGCAGTTTAATAATATTTTTTAAGAAATTATAATTTTTAATTGTTTGAAAGTTAAGAGGTTGGAGTTAATTTATATTTCATAGTAACTTTAACAGTATTGTATGATTTATACTTATAAAACATGCTAAATATTTTATTTTATATAAGTTTCTTTAATTCTTTTTAGTTTTCTTGAATTTTTAATGCATCTCTTTATATTTTATTGTGTTATAATGCTATATTATTTATTCATAAATTTAAAAAATTAAAGATCCGTGAGGCTTACGCCCTATGTCTCGAGGCTTTCGCATCGCCCCGTATTAAGTAAAACGCTCCGCCTCACGCCCTCGCCTTTAAAAACACTGGTAGGAGCCATAAATTACTAGTTCTGTCTCATATTATATTATTTGTCATGATTCTCTTGTACACGTTTCTTAAGAAAAATTAATTCGAATGAAATTTTGACTACTTTACCCTTATTTATGTTTTAATATTTAATCTTTTTTTGTTGATATTTGAATAAAGTTATCCATAATTGAGGTGTTTATAGACTTCAATGATAATTATTATTCCGAGTAAAAAAAAAAGATAATCAATATTTTCTTGAACTTCTAAAGTGATGAATAATTTGAAATAACTATTTTAGTAACACAACTGATAATATAAGACGGAGGGAGTACTAATACCTTCTTAAAAAAGAGTCCCATCCAAATTAAACATTCAAAAAGTGTAAAACCTCAAAAAGAAGTATGATAAAGTTTCTTTATGTTTTTCTTGAGGAAGTTTTTTCTTATTTTTCACTTTGCTAAGCATGTAAATTTTCTTGGCAATATAAGTACGTTATTAGAGATAAAATGAGAGAAAATATTACGTATTTCTTTTTTTGGTAAAAATAGGGAAATATTCATATATATTAAGTCATTACAGGGACATTGGACGTCCCATTACAGCTGCTTTGAGTAGATAGTACACATAGGTTTGTAAGACTAGCAAACTTAGTAGACATAAATATGGGGATTGTTCTAGTAGACAACACGCCTTCTTTGTCTGATTGTAAGGTTAAAAATACAGGCGTAGGCGGATAATTTATAATATATATTGTCACTTGATTGCTTCTTAGACCTTTCATTCGCCAAAGCATGCGATGTTTTGTTCCCCTCCCGGAAGCTATGCCGGATGAATCGTATTCCCCGACATCTTCAACTGAAACCTGTAAGAGTCAATTAAATTGTTAAAGATAGGGATTTTTTGATTTAGTAGTTCAATTACCTCGATAGAGTCTGTCTCAATTTTCACCAGAGTTAGTTGGTTGGCTATTACTAGATGTAACTCGTGCTCTAAGGAGCACTTAGCTCGGCATGAGTGTGGTTGAGTGCACAAATCTTTTTGGAGAATCTTATGACCCCTTCCCCATTTGCATTTCTTATAACACCTCCAATACCACCAATCTTGTCTTTAGCGTAGTGGGAACCATCCGTGTTAAGCTTAAAGGATCCTGGAGGTGGAGGGAACCACCAGACTTGGATATTTTTAGTAGGAATGGGAGTGGTGGAAGTCCCTATATAGAACATGTATTTCATATCCCTCGTACACAAAGTTTTAATATCAACAAACATGTTAGTTCCATTAAAGACATTATGGTTCCTGTTTGTCCAAATGCGCCACAGGGCGAAGGAAAAGAAGAAGTCCCAAGGTAGAGGGTAGTTAAGGATGGGAATATTTATGTCCTTAATTAATTGAAGCCAGTGAATATGGTGATGGGGGAGGACAGTGACATTTAACCCAAGGTCCAACCAGAATTTTCGTGTAGTAAGGCACTCAAGAAAAATATGGTGGATAGATTCTGAGGGATGCTTGCAAATAATACAATTAGAGGTTACATTGACACCTATATGATGTAGGTAGTTATTTGTAGGTAGTTTATTATGAGAACAAAGCCATAGAAAGAATTGGATCTTTGGCAATGTATTTAGAGTCCATATCCGTTATAATCATACTCATAGTCAGGCGTGGGATGGAGTAGATTATTAACTGACTTTGTGGAAAAAATGTCATTTGTATTTAAAGACCAGTAGGAGGTATCAACCTTATCCTGACTCAAAGAGATTGCCTTAGTTTGATTGAGAAATTCTTGTGGGATTTCTATATAGATTCTTGACCAATCCCACTGGAGGCCATCCCAAATATTGTATAAACTAAGTCTTTGGTACTTTTGGGTCAAGGGACCTTGAATAATTGAACGGAGGGGTGGTGGATGTGGAATCCATCTAGAGTTCCATAAGTCGATATTAGTTCCAGACCCTGGGTCCCATGCTATAGCTTTAGAGCATATGACATCACCCTTTAAAATACTTCTCCGAATAAAAGAATGGGAGGATGGGTTGCTTTTTGGATAGTATTTTTTAATTAGGGTTTGTGCCCAAAGGGAATTGTGTTGAGAGAAGAGTCTCCAAGCTAGACTTGTTAGAAAAGTCATGTTTTTATCATGAGCTTTTGAATGCCTAAACCACCTTGGTCCTTTGGTAGAGTGACAGTGTCCCAGTTTATATAGTGAATCTTCTTTTTTTGAGGGGTAGTGCCCAATAGAAAATTTCTCTAGATTTTATCAATATTGTGACAAGTTTTTTTAGGAAGAAGGAAGTATTGCATGGCATATGTTGGAATGGTATTGAGAGTAGATTTGATGAGAGTGAGTCGACCCGCTGGAGTTAGGAAGTTTAGTTTCCAGTTAGCGAGTTTACTTTTCATACTGTCTATGATGTATTGGAAATCATGGGGTCTGGGTTTATTATTCAAAATGGAAAAACCAAGATATTTGCCAAAAATATTGGTAGCTTTTATTTTTAAAAGATTTTGAATTAGTTCACGAGGAGTTTCTTGGCAACTCTTTGAAAATATAACCCTAGATTTGATAGGGTTGATTTTTTGCCCAGATAAGGTGCAAAAATGGCTCAGATAGTTATGGATTGACTGAATTGATTTCTGGTTAGCTTTAGCCATAAGGGTAAGATCATTTGCAAAGAACAGATGTGAAAGTTGGGGTCCATTTTTGTTAAGGGTGATGGGATCCCAGAATTGGAGATCAACTTGATGGTTAATATAGGTGGATAGAAGTTCCATGCATAGGATAAAGATATACAGGGACATAGGATCTTCTTGACGAATAACCCTGGAGGGAGAAAAATAGTTGGTTTTGGTACCATTGACGAGGATAGCAATGTTGCTCGTAGCAATGCAGTTTAAAATGAGCTTGGAGATTTTTTGGGGGAATTTAAAAAACTAAAGAGTACGGTTGACAAAGGACCAGTCAACATGGTCAAATAATTTTTTAAGGTATATTTTTATAATAAACTTGCCCTCAGTCCCTCTAGTTTTATTAATATGGTTCATGACTTCCTGGACGAGGATAGCATTATCGCAAGCCCTACGTCCTTTGAGGAAGCTAGTTTGGCAAGGGTCAATAAGGTCAGGCAAGTATAACTTGATGCGATTTGCAATGATTTTTGTAATTATCTTATAGACGGTATTGCAAAGGTCAATGGGTTAGTAATTCTTGAGGTCATTAGCATTATGGAATTTAGGGATAAGACAAAGATATGTATTAGTTATGGAGGCAGGTAATTCCTGGGTATTAAAGACATGTCTACAAAGATTTATTATGAAATTCCCAACTATATTCCAATATTTTTGAAAAAAAAAAGGGTGCAGACCATCTGGTCCCGGAGCTTTAAAAAGTTTATAGGTGAATAGAGCTTGGGTAACCTCACTGTCTAGTAAGAGGTTATCCAAAGGGGAGAGGTCGATATTATGAAAACTCGAAGGAGTAATTTTAATATTTCTCCAGTCAGTACTTAAGTGACTAGTAGTGTAGATTGCTTTAAAATATAATTGCTAGTATAATTAACTAGGCTGCCATGATCAGTGATCCAATTACCATGTTCATCCTTAAAAAAAGATACATTATTCCTTCTTATTCGATTGATAATGGGCAAATGGTAGAACCTAATGTTAGCATCACCATTATTTAACCAATTAAATTCTAGACCTAATTTTTTAAAAGTCCTCTTTCATTCGAAGAATGTTATTGTATTCAGTGGTGAGGATTTTTTCAAGGGACTGGAGAAAAATACTAGTGGTGTAAGCTTGTGAACGTTGAATACCATTTAATCTAGCCAATATTTTATTTTTTCTATGAAATATGTTTCCAAATGTGTCTCTATTCCAGGAGGTAACTTTATGGGTAAAGAATTTAGTTGCCTCAGCAAAATCCTTATGCTGCCAACTTTCTTTAATAATATTCTCAAATTCAGGATGAGAGCTCCAGTAATTTTCTAGATGGAAAG